TGTCAGGTGTCCTGTGTAGTTTGGCCCAGAAACGTCTTCAGGTGTAAAAGCACATCCTGTTTCTCTTTTTTTCAGTGAGTATTTGTGTGTGTGTGTGTGTGTGTGTGTGTGTGCGCACGCCTGGAAGTCATGGTTGACTTCTGGCGACCCCTAGTGGGGCTCAGATGTTTCAGAGAGGTGGCTTGCTATTGGCTGCCTGTGGGTCCTGGCCCTAGTCTCCCATCCAAGTACTTGCCAGACTCAGCCCTGCTTAACTTCCAAGTTCTGACAAGATCGGGGTTGCTTGGACTATCCAGGTCAGGGCTAGCACATCCTGTTTTTCCTGCTTCCTGTGGGCCTAGATCTTAGAGAATGTATGTCCCTCTTGTCTCTTCCAGGGATCAGAGCAATGATTACTACCACACCTGAGATCCAGCAGCAACTCTGCCCCGTGACACCTAACCCAAAGTGGTTCATTTCACTGTCGTGCCTTGTTGTTTTTCCTATCTGACATGCGCCCACATTACAAGATGGAGACGTACTGAATGTGAATGTGGATACAAACGCCATTCCCTTGGACACCTGATCTAAACTTCTCTCGAATAATTATATAATAACAGTACGGTCATGAGAAGGGAATTTTGCCCAAAGGCTTCCAATCTGTTCTGCTTTATTCTCACCAGCAGTCTTGTTCAGAAGCCCATCGTGTGCAGGCAATAGCTACGTTGCTTCGTTGAATCAAACTTGCTCACAGATTTTAGAATTCCAGTTCCCCTTTAATAGCAAGCCGCCTGCCCGATAACTCTGTGACATCACAGCAGCTGACCAATGGCTACAGGAAGAGCTGTGACCCTCCCCCCACCCCACCTGCTCTGGTTAACTGAGACAGGAGGGCTATTCACATGCCAGTGATAGATGTTAGAATGCATTTGTTTACAAGCATTCAATATATTTTTTAAAAAGATTAAACTGCTGACATATTTTCCCTAGTAAATTAATTTGTTGCTTCTAGGCAGTGCTGCTTCTGATATATTCTCCTTCTCATGTTTGAAAGAAATCGCAATAAGCAACAGCTGGAAAATGACCTTGGGCTCATGTCTTCATGTTGTGGGTACAGTCAGATGGGATTATAAGGCTTCTTGATAGTTTCACAGCCAGAAATCTGGTTTTACAGCCAGAAATGTGGGGGTGGTGAGACATAATGGTGCATGAGCAAGGGGACAAGAGTAGCCAGCCGTTGATTAAATAAAAAAACAGCAGAGACTTGAGCACAAGTAGGTATTTATTAAATATAATGAATTAAAACGTCATATTAACGCACATTTTTTAGAAAAATAGGTGGCAATTGCCCACGTGTTTGCTAGCCATCCCTGCGCACTTGCTCTTGAGCCTTGAGAATTAGGATGTGGCAAGGGAGAATCAGATTTAGTTCTTGCAGAGCAAATAGAGTCCGAAAGTTTCTCTTGACATCTCTGTAACAGAAGGACTTTCTTCGCTTTCAGTCCAGAGGGGCTGTGGCTCAGTGGTAGAGCATCTGCTCGACATGCAGAAGGTCCCAGGTTCAGTTCCTGGTGCCTCCAGTTAAAAAGATCAGGGAGAAGGGGATGAAGCAGCCTGAATAGCCCAGACTAACCTGAGCTGGTCAGAGGGCTGCTCAGCAGGAGTAGCCCTGGTTAGTACCTGGAAGGGAGACCACCAAGGAAGTCTAGGGTTGCTGTGCAGAGGCAGGCAATGGCCAACCACCTCTGAATGTCTCTTGCCTTGAAAACCCCATGAGGAGGCCACCATGGGGTTACTAGCACTGTGTTGGGAAATACCTGGAGATTTGGGGGGTGGACCCTAGGGAGGGCGAGGTTTGAGGAGGGGAGGGGCCTCAGCAGGGTATAATGCCATAGAGTCCACCCTCCAAAGTAGCCATTTTCTCCAGGGGAACTGATCTTGGTTGTCTGGAGAGCAATTGTGATAGTGGGAGATCTCCAGGTGCCACCTGGAGGTTGACAACTCTAGGTCACCATATGTTAGTTGCAACTTGGTGGTACTTAAGCAGGAACTGCTTTGCATATTAGGCGACACACCCCTAATGTAGCCAATCCCCCAAGAGCTTACAGAGCTCTTCTTACAGGGGCTACTGTAAGCTCTTGGAGGATTGGCTACATTAGGGGTGTGTCGCCTAATATGCAAAGGAGTTCCTGCTACAAAAAGAGCTCGTAGTAGTAGGTGATGTGAAAGATGGCAGCCTGAATTTGGTGATGATTTGTCAATCAAGATCGGGTTTCTCTGCTCTGGCTGGTAGCGGCTTTCCGGGGTCCCTGGCAGAGGTCTTTTCAACATCGCCTCCTACATATTCAGCCGGAGATGCAAGGAATCTGGGACTTTCTGCAGGTCGAGCAGATGCTCCACCACTGGGCCACATCCC